AGACACACAAATAATAACACGTACTGCAGGTTTATATTATAACTTAAGAACATGTACATATGCATCAAAAAATTATTAAAATGAAGATTTCTCTCCTAGTTATTTTTGGCAAAATTTTTGAATAACTTTAAAAATTCATAAAAAATCCAATTTTAGTTGGAATCGAAAAGCAGATAATTATTGGTGAGTCAATAATACACAGCATGTATGGAATGAGAGAATATATGTTATTTTGTAGATGATTTCATGACAAAAATATCTAAAATATCTGAGAAAGATGCATATATATCTAAATTATTGAAAGAGAAATTACAACAACAGGAGAGGATCACATCCCAAGAGGAACAATCAATCAAAGAGACTAGTTCTGTTGAAGTTCAGTTCAACTACTTAATACCATCAATGGGTAGGAGATATGCTATTACATGTAGTATTAATGATGGTTGTTGTCATAAGTTGAATAAATTCTATTATGTATTATTTGCAGTTGAATTTAATTACTATTAAACTTGATATTCTTACCCTTGTCCAATAAATAAGAGATATGCTTGCAGGTTTGAGCTGCTTTAAGTTGTTCTTCTATTTGTGTCTTCTCTTTCAATAGTTCAGTTATATAAACTTCCTTATCAGCAACTATAGCTTTAAGTTTCTCATATTCTCCTACATTAATAGAATATTCTCTCATCTAATATTATGTACTAATGATACACTAACCAGTCATTATTTGTTTCTCCTCCACTGATTCCTCTAGTTCATCAGTTTTAAGCTTCTTAGAATTATCTGCAGAAAATGAATTTTATATTTGCCACAATTAAAATCCGCCAATTACCAAAATTTAGCAATTCGCCAAAATTTATCCCCTCCAAATTTACCCGCTATATGGTAACACAGCACAAGAGTTTTATAAATCTGATGCAACTCAAGTACATATGTTATAACAGGGTTTCCCACAAAGTATGCTAAGTGAGCTAAACAGCATGCTTCATGAGCTGACAAGCACTACATAGTACATCTAGCTGTGTCTTTTAATTCTCTCCTGTTATAATAGGCCACATAATGTGCATGGATTTGGAAAATTCATAAAAAAATATTTTGATCAGAATCAGCTCAAACTTGCCATATAACATAAGAACATGCATAATGTATCACAAAAATTATAAAAATGAAAAATTATTTCATAGTTACTTTGGCAAAATTTGGCCAAAAGCTCTGTGCTTAATAGTCGGGGTAAAACTATATTCAGGGATTTAAGCTC